GCGATGCAATGCAACGCAACGCGTAAAAACACAGTATAAGTCATTATAATCAGTAATTATGTCCCCACTGGATGCAACAAATATGTACAGTATGGTAAGGGGCGTAACATTTCCGTCACACGCTTGAGGAATTCGGCCAATCACAACGCACTGGATAGCTGGCCAATCAGAGCACACCTCGCTTTTTCAGACCGATGAGCTTTGTAAAAATCGACGCGTTTCAGAAAGGCGGGGCTTAGAGGAGAAACAATAATGTACAGTATGTGAAAAATAATGTGTTTTTTTAACCTTAAACCGCATAAACACATTTCATTACACCAAATTTATACACAAAATAATGTTCTTTTTAGCAGCATCATATGACCCCTTTAAGAGCAAGCACATTTTAGCTTGAATGTGCAAGGCTTCTTATGGCAGCGACTTCCAGTTATTTTAGCTGTACAAAAATAGTCCATTATGCTGCCTGATCTCCCCATTGTGCAATAAAAATATGTGCAATATTACCACTTATATTTATTTGATACCACACATCTTAGTCCATCCCTACATCTGATTCTATTCTATTCCATCTATAGCACACATGTACAAACAATTTTGTTGTACATTTATATATACATATGTGTATTTTATTCATATATCTTTATTTTTTATTATCTGTGTGTTGTTCTTGTCTCTGTTTACTGGAAGCTTCTGTCACCAGAACAAATTCCTTGTATGTGCAGCTCTTTCTGACTTCTGATATTACAAACAGCACATTCTAATATTTGTTGTTATCATGTAATTTTAATGTATTTTAGAAATCATAAACACATAGCTTTATAGCACAAATATATATATTTTTTTCATTTACTGCACTTTGTTATTGAATTGTAAGTCTTGCACTTTTACATGATATAGCTTATGTCTGCATTGAAAAATAAGGTTTATTGGTTGTCATCCCGGGCTGAATATTTGGATATGTGGGGTGTGCGAATAAAGTCAACATGAGAGGAAGTAAAATGTGAAATAGTTTACTTTTAAAAATGTTGGGAGTTTGTTACTTGTTTGGTGTTAAAGTGACAGTTCACCCCAAAATAAAAATTCTTTCATCATTTATTCACCCTCATGTCATTCCAAATACGTATGATTTTCTTTCTTCTGTGGAACACAAAAGAAGATATTTTGAAGAATATTTGTAACTTAACAGTTTCCGTTCCCATTTGCTTCCACTGTATGGATGAGAAATACAATGGAAGTCAATGAGAACCATTTTATTTATTTATTTTTTTGCCAGCTGAAAGTCCGTGGATGTATACTTTTTGTTATATGACTGGAATGGAGAGCAGATACTATGTAGAAATAATTGCTGCTCTATAACATGATCTACACTTTTACACAACCACAGTGAATCATCAGCAACACTTCAATTTGCTTCTTGTTATATCACACACTAACAAAATGAGAACTCCTACTCAACAATTCCTCTTTACCAGATACATGTCTGCACAAGATTCCTAATTTTCAACAGAATAAAGATTTAAGATGTGGGGTCAAAATGAATCATGACAAAAAATTTGTGGAACATTTTGTGCTGTACAAATTTTGCTTTCATATAGTGACCAAAGCTGTGGTAATGCACAATTCAACTGCAGATATACAGTCTAATAAATTATATGCCACTAGCCAATACTAAAACAAAAAAGCAGACAACTGAAATAAATTAAGGGAAAAAAATATTAAGACATATTAATATTTTCTTTTAACAAAAATAGACATGCAAATTATGTTGGTAGGTTTTAAATAAACTATTATATGGGCTGGCTGTTAGCAGAGCTGACTGTTAAAGTTCCTAAACACATATCTAAACAGTCAGTAATCAATTAAAAAATTATTGGAAATCCATACAAGAAAAGTGGACTGTGATTTATACTGTCAGGATCCTAGAACATAACAACAT